GGTCGTGACATTCACCATATTTTTTCTTGTCCTATTCCTCTTTGGAATAATCTCTATAGTTATGACAAATAAATCTTTTTTTGGTATAATTATATTTTATATTGATTAAAAAACTTTAGTATCTAGTTTTACTTTATATTTTATATTTTAATTAAATATAAATTTAATTAATTAAATTTTTCTTATGATAAATATTTAAATTTATTTTTATCATTTAAATAATACTAATTGTAAACTGAACCTTAATATTATTCTTTTCTGTAGTTAACACTCACAAGTACTTTTTGGAAAGAGTGGTCAAACACAATCGAATATTACGAAAAAAAATACTTCTCAAAATTGACCAAACACAAGGTGTTACTCTCAAAAATACTTTTGCAGAAAATCCATTTTAAAGTAACAAATGGGAAAAAATCACCTAGTGTTATAAATAGAGTTTTATTTAAGGTGAATGTCTATATTTTAGAGAGATTGTAGGGATTTTACTTGGTGGCTAAGTCACTCTTTCCCTATAAATAGAAGGGTCATATTCCATTGTAATTTATCCCAAAGCAATAAAAATTCTCTCTTCGTACTTTTCTCTGCAATACTTTTCTTTTTCTTTTATTTTTCATAACACCTAGTACTTTTTGCCTCCGATTTAAACTTAAGACATCATAGTTCTCACCTATTTTATTGACAATTAGGTCACATCCTTGAATGCTATTTTTCCAAAAATATTTTCTGCTTAGTTATTGAACAAAAAAAAAATATGTAAGGAAATTACTTATTTTCTCATTAAAAATATTTTCCACCGAATACACCCTAAGTTGGTTGTCAATATTTAACTTGACGTGATACTTTATAGAAATTTAAAATAAGACTCAGATTATTATCTCTTTGCTCAGACATTGTACCTAACGAATTTGATAACTTTCAGGATGATAGACCAATTGAACAGCGAGCATTGTAAATTTGCAAGTACTAAAGCAATATTCTACTACTATTCTTTTTCTCTTACAGAAGCATCTTGCACAGGAGTCTTTTTCTCATTTCTTATTGATCTTTTTTCTCATGCATTAAACTGAATTTCAATACTATATCTATAGAAAAGATATGACCTTCTTTTTATGTTTGCACTATCCATTTAGATCGTTCCATAAATAAACATATTGATCCGCTTCTTTTGATGAACATTTTTTGTCGTCCTTTATGAGTGAATATTTTCATTATTATAGGAGGTTTGACATTGATCTTTACTTTGTATAATAGTATGTTATTATTATTAACAAAAGAGTACAAAGAAGGAAAATAAACCTAACTGGTTATACTAGTCAACTATATTACGCTAAAGATGGTATAACTAGTACTCAACCACAGAGCTAGTTGGGGTGAGTGAGGTTGGGGTTCGTTTAAGGTTGTTCTATTGCTATGTGTAAGTTATCTATATATCTATTTATCTATATTATATTAAAATCACGAAGGATCTTAACGAAATGTCATTCGTCTATATATCCTTTAAAATAAAGTTTATATTGGACTAAATAGTTATTTTACTAATTCCTAAATATTTAGCAGTTTGAAATTAATTAAGACTTTGCTTATTAAAATAAATAAACAAAATTATAATTTAAATTACTTTTCTTAATATTTAGGACTTTAAAATTAACTAATATTTTAATTAATAAATCATTACTTATTAAACTAGGTAAGAAGTCCTAATATTTTGAACTTTAAAGTTAATATAGTATAGATAATTAATATGCTTTTGTTTCGATGAGGCCAACTTGCCGAAAGAGTTTTCTTTTTCTTTTCATAAAAAATGTGCTTTTCTAACCCCAATAGCCACCAAGGATTCTTATTTGTTTTTTGCATGATTGAAAATAATAATGATATTCAGAGTTTACATATTAGTCATAACAAACAAAAATTATAGCTTAATTTAATGACTGGGTACTGTATGGCACGATGCTCTATGAATCATCACTTAACCTTTATACAAAAATAATGAATTTTAATTACATGTATATTTTATTATATTTTTATATGAAATAGAAAATAAAGCATAAAAAGGTCAAATATTCATATATATTTTTAAATTTACACTTTAACGTTAAATTTTTACTTTAAAACTCAAACACATTCTTTAATATTTTAGTTATATAATTTTTTAAAATTGTGTGTTCATTAAATTAGGGTACTAGTAAATAAACTTCCCTATAATGTGGGTAAGTATTCACCAGAAAGTGTTTTTTCTTTTCCTTTCAAAAATACATTTTTTAAGAAGTGATTTGAAAACGTTTTGCACAGAAAGTTATATATTTCTCTAGTTAAAAAACACCCATAAATCTGTTGTAAACATTATGATATCATCTTCTTCTTCTTCTCTTTTTTACCATGAATTGTTTCAAAATTCTTTTTTCTTCAGAAATTGTCCAAACTGCTAAGCCTTCTGAATTCTGACTTTTCTTACCTGTCTTATCGAAAAAGAGGAGATCTTAAAGGTATATCTAACAAAGCCTATGCATAAGTGAAACACTGATTCTTGACGGGGGAAGACTAGATAGTGATGCTTGTTCTCGTCGTCATTTTTTACACTGTAACCAACTTGACACTGAGCTAACAAATAACTGGGGAATACGAGGAGTTTTTGTATTATGAAAACGATTAGGGAAAAATTTATAGGAGGTTTATGTAAATTATATTGTTCTTACTATAAAGTTTGTCTCTTTACATGAAGACAACGAATACAAGATATATCTTTTCGTGCAAATATTTCTCACTCGATTATGGTTATGTGATATGTATTTTCAATCTAATAATTTTTTAATTTGGTGTAAATATGAAAAATAAATAAATATTTACCATGATATTACAGACCATCAGACTCAGTAAAACAAAAAAGGAATGGGTAAAAACCTCAAGCACAAGTAACGGTTGAAGGAGAGAAAGACCCTCCTCATTATTAGGATTTTGTTACTATTCTTAAGCTTACCTTAACTGCACTACTCGCAGTTACTTCCCTAAGTAAATGTTGTTTAGGTGGCATTTGGACACATCTTGGAAGTGTTTTTTCTTTTTTAGAAATGTTTTTATAGAAAAAAATACCTTTTTTTTTTTTTGTGAGGAAGTGAGTTGTATTGGATGGATAAGAGTTTTTTGTTACAGTTGGTGAGGTTAGGAGTTCGAGAGGAATAGTCGAGTAAGCTCATAGGGGAAAAACAGAAGAAAACATATTATGTTTTTGATGGAAGTATTTCCCAAGAATGATTTTTAAAAAAATATTGTATAGGAATATCTTCTAAAAAAGAAAAGAAAACTAATAAAAAAGNCATATTATGTTTTTGATGGAAGTATATCCACCACGTTGTAAAACTCCGGCTCCGTTTTGCACGTACTTTATCAAAAGGTCAAAGGTAGTATGCATCAGATTAAAAAAAAAATACGATGAATTTTTTTAACAAAGTACATCAACAATATAAGCAAATACGATGATATAAAGTAGGGAATTTTTAAAATTATGAGAACAGGTGTAAGATGAAATGACTTATCCAAAGTTGAAAGTTATTGAACTAAGAATAGGGAGAGAAAATGAGGCCAAATTTTATGATTAAAAAAAAATATGGAAAAAGAGGATCGGAATGATAATGTTAAAATTCTGTGGCCTATTGTGGGAGGTCAGTTTGATTGGTTTTGTTTTGACTCAAAAAAAAATTTTGGTTGGACAAATGCTTTGTTTTGTACCAGAAAACAACCTAGTTTTGGACCAAAAATGGATGTCAGCCCCAAAAGCTGTCTACAGTTATTCAGCAACAAAAGGAAATCATATTCCACACTCAAGACAAGATCTCACTATCTCAAGTATTCTGGTTTCATTACTACTGTAATTTTGCATGTCCTTATGTTAAACTTATGATCATTCAATTTCTAGCTCATTTTTTGTTTGTTTCTATAGATTCTTTTTTTAATTGTCGCAATTGGCTAGGTTTTTCTTGGTGCACGTTTTCTTTTTAATTTCCCTTAATTAATCTTAACCACGAAATTGAAAACTCAACTTTCTTTTACTTAACATATTACCTTTTTTATTTAAGGAACCTCTTAGGTGACATATTTAAGTGGATTATTCTATTAATATCTCAAAAGCTAATACTATAAACAAGTAGAACCAAACTGTATCTTGTTACTCCTAATAAAATGAAGGGAAAGATACGCCTCCATTTACCCCGTGAGTAAAATATGCACTGATTGATCAAGGCAAGAAAACTTATTTAACTAGCGAAATATATTTGTTCAAGGGAGTTCTTGAGCATCCAAAAACTGTTTTGGAGAAAACACACAGTTACTCATATTCAGTGTTTATTATTATCAATCTAATAAATATATAATATGTATCCTTATAAATTAAATAAGTATCACTAAATCATGCTAGCAGTTAATTAATTAATACACAATTTTATCTTTTTAACCATAATAAAATTATTAATCATTTGGTGGACGTTAATTTTTTGTAGCAGTTTTGATTCCTAAAGTTTTAATAATGATTTACTGTATTCTCTTAATTAAATGTTAGAGTGAAAAAAGGAAGGTTGAGACGGTTGAGAGAGCCCCTAATAAATCTGCACATAATTAGAGGATCAGTTAACATTCCCTAAAACTTATCCTCCATTAACTCTACCAGTAACTGCCCATTCCGCCGTCACCTATTAATTAATTAGTCCTATTACTGTTATTATTATTAGTTTGTCAACCACAAGTAAAAAAAAAAAAAAAAAAAAAAAAAAAAAAAAAAAACGTCTACTGTTGTTCAACAAGTGAGAAAAAGCAGCAGAGATTCATCAAGACACAGTATCTAATTCCTCATCTCTCTCGTCTCAATAAGGTAACTATTTCTTACCATCAACCACTTTAAGTTCTTGCACTCTAACTAAGCTACTACTCTTACCCTCACATTCTCATGCAAGCTTCAAGCTGTTCTTTTTGTATTTTGTATTTTTGTTTAAAGGGCCGGTACTGTGTTGTTAATGGCTAGTCTTAGCTACAACTCCAACTCCAACTTGGAACCAAATATGCAACAACTCAACGAGTTTCTTTTTGATTTCAACTATGACCAGAGCTTTCCTAAACCAGAGGCTTGCTATTTCGATCCATTTTTCGACTCCAGCGATTTTGTTTTCCCAGCAATATTAATGGAACCAAATTGTATCGTGCCAGAAATCCAAGAGTACTACTCTGATTTTCAGATGAGCAATCCAAAACGGCAAAAAGTCTTTCAATTAGACAACTGCCATCATCAAGATATAATAACTCATGAGGGTAATTTGTCCAATGGGCCAATCTATCAATCGTTTTCATTTCCAGAAAATATTCCTATGCCACAGTTGGAGTTTCCGAGTCCGCCTGTTTTTAATAGCGGGTGCTGCCATGAGAAAAAGGAGAAGAAGATGTCTGCACAGAGCATAGCGGCGAGACAAAGGAGAAAGAAGATTACTGAGAAAACGCAAGAATTAGGGAAGCTGATACCTGGTGGACACAGAATGAACACTGCTGAAATGCTTCAAGCTACTTTTAAGTATGTTAAGTTCTTGCAAGCCCAAGTTGGACTTCTTGAATTCATTGGATCACATCAGGTAAATATTACCACCTTCTGTTTCTATATATGTTTGTGAATTTTTTTTCCATTTGTAACATTCAATGTAGTTTTTACCTTATATGTCAGTGTATACAAGTTAATACATACATGGCCATTTTCCTCATGACAAGAGCATTTGTAAAATTAAAATTTTATTTTAGGGATTATTAGAATGAGACATTTATATATGCTAGCAATTGTTATATTAATTCATTTGTAATTAATTAGCAGGAGAATGGGAAATCATATGAAACACCAGATTTGCAAAAACTTGTTGGATCGCCCTTGATTCAGGAGAAGTTATACTCAAGTGACAATTGCTTGGTTCCCAAAGTGTTCCTTGAAGACCTAGACAAGAATCATGAATTCCAACATTCACAAAGCGTTGACCAAGTCAAGAAATTGATTACATGAAATGCTAGTTCATCAGCCTAATTAGATATTGGAGAATTTAGGGGTAGTTTCAGTTCAATTACCTGTTGTTGTTCTTAGGTTAGCTAGCCTTGATTTCGTTTTCAGTTAATTCAGTTCTACTAATTTATTTTCCTAATTAGGATTTTATGTAATTTTCACTGTAAATCCCTCATTTACAAGGAATATAATTCCATGTGATTGATTCTTTATTTTTAGTTATTAGCTCAGCTTGCATTAATTTTTTAATTTATATTCCCGGCAATGGGTTTGGCGATCCGACAAAAGAGGCTCTAAAATTAGACTTTTTTCGATTAACAAGTCTCGTTAAATCTTGTTATTTGAGAATGTGTTTTTCAATTATTCAAATTCATTTGTAACTAAATAACATTTGACTAAAGCATCAGCTAGTTTATGCACTCACTCATTTGTCATTTAACAAATGCACAGTACTTTTGTATGTTCTTTTTACCCGATGAAGGCAGGCCCTTCTTCAAGACTGCCATTTCCCCAGCCTCCAATCATCTCATAAGAGAAGACTTGCAGTCCGCCCCGACCCGGCTTTTTCCTTTTGCTTTTAAACAAAAATGTATTGTGTTTAAATCAAACCTATTAACTTATTGAATTATTTAATAAGGTGAAAATATGTACTAATAATTAACTCTGAATTTATGGTAAGTTTTTACAATAGAGAGTGAATGTCACGGCCCAATTCCATTAAAGGTCGTAATGATGCCGGACACCAATGTCAGTTAAGCCTACAATAATTAATTAATTTGGTTCTCATTTTAGTATTTTTGCAATCATAATTTTCTTCAATTATTAAATAGTAAAAAATGGAATTCACAGAGTAAATAATAATATTTTAACAATTCCAATACTGAACAACCCATAATCACCCCAAAATCTGGTGTCACAAGTGCATGAGCATCAACTAGGAACATAAAATAAAATACAACATCTGTCCGGAATACAAATTAGACTGGAAAATACATAAGTAACTCTGAAAGAGACTCTGCTGGTTGCGGATCGAAATGTGGAAATGCAGCTCACCTAAGTCCACGCAAATAATCATGCGTCTGATCTCAGAGAGCCACTAGACACACATGTACATGCACAAAAGTGTGCAACAAGTGTAGTTAGAGTACGTAAATCAACGCGTACCCAGTAAGTATCCAATCTAACTTCGAAAAAGTAGTGACGAGGGGTCGACTCCAACACTTACTATGGGCTGTAATAAAAATATCGATGATATGATTAAGCATGAATTGTATAGAGCGACGGTAAACTCAATATCATGAAGTAAGTAAATAATTCTTTGTTAATAAGAAATTTCCAAATTCATTTTTGTTTTTATCATTTACCATTATATCTCAGGCCAATGAAGTAATATCAATTATTATGAATTCCAGAGCAACCAAATCAATCATGCACAAATTATGTTGATGTCATAAAGCCTGATCCAACATAAATATAAATTGTGCACTGCCGAGGATCGAACGGCATGAACCATAGATGCATCTATCTGCTACCGAGGCGTTCGGCCCGCTCCACAACAAGAGAAAACATATATAAACAACCAATTCAAGATTTATTAAGGGCTAATATTCAAAAAAATATAAATTCTCATTAACGGTCGAATGACACGTCCAAAACTCAAGTAGGTGAAGTTTAACCTTTTACAATTTCCTTATCAAGTTCCAATAAGTTTTTAACAATTAAATTAACAAATATGCAAATATCGCAAATATAACATGATTTGGGTCCTAGCTAAACTACCCGAACATAAGCATAATAGTAGCTACGCAACGACTCTTGTCACCTCATGCGTATGTAGCCCCCCACAATTAGAAACACATATTAATTCAATTCACCTATGGGGTTAATTCCCTCTTAAAAGAATAGAAATGAGACTTACCTCGCTCCGAAGTTCCATATCCGGCTCCTAAGCCTTTCTAACAACTCAAACAGATGCCCAACGCTCCAAAACTAGTCAATAAATGTGCAAATCCATAAATATATACTCTAATAATCTTTATAATCCAATTTATAACAATTTCCAACTCCGTTTGAAAAGTCGATAAAAAATCACCATCGGGCCCATGTGCCTGGATTTTGAAAATTTTTGAAGATAAACTTTACTCATCACACGACGAACAAAAATATATAATTTATTCCAAATTCCGTATCCAATTTCATGGTGAAAATCCAAAAATATTAATTTCTAGGTTTTTTTTCAAAATCCCAAAATTTTACAAATTTTCATGTCTAAATCCATATATACTCCAAGTATTTAACTTGCAATAGGTGGGAATCACTTACCTTGACATAAATGATGAAGATGAAGCTCCAAAATCGCTCCAAGACCGGCTCCCATTGAGGAAATGAAGTGAAAATGGCCAAAATTCCGTTTTAAAACAACTCATTGCCCAGCCCGACACTTCTTCGCGAACGCGGCACAACCCTCGCGTTCGTGAAGCTCTACAACCTCATGCCCAGAAATCCTTCTTTGCGTTCGCGACCCTTCGACGGCGTTCGCGAAGGCCAATTGTCCCGCCCCTTCGTGTTCGCGTTCTCTTCTACGCATTCACGTAGGCCAACTGGCCGCGTTCGCGAAGGCTTGTCCAGCTCTTGCCTCGCGTTCACGTGCACTGGCTCGCGTTCGCGAAGGCCAAACCCAGCAGCCCCACAAATTCCTCTTCGCTGTCGCAGAACTTCCCTCGCGTTCGCGAAGAAGGAAACTAGACACCAGCAACAACAGTCCAATACAACTCAAATTTAGTTCGAAATCACCCCAAAACACACCCGAGGCCTCCGGAACCTCGTCCAATCACCCAAACCAGTCCCATAACATAACACGGGCCTACTTGAGGCCTCAAATCACATCAACCAACACCGAAATCATGAATCGTTCCCCAAATTCAACCTTAATGAACTTTAGAACTTCAAACTTCTACATTCGATGCCGAAACCTATCAAATCACGTCTGATTGACCTCAAATTTTGCACACAAGTCACATTAGATATTACGTACCTACTCCAAATTTCGGAATCAAAATACGCTCCCGATATCAAAAAGTCCACTTCCAGTCAAACTTCTCAAAAACCTTCAAATTTCTAGCTTTCGCCAAATGACCCCAAAATAACCTAAGGACCCCCGAATCCACTTTCGGACGTGCTCCCAATATCAGAATCATCATACGGAGCTATTCCCAGACTCAAAAACCCAAACGGACATCGATAACACTAATGCACTTCAACCCAAATTTATGAAATTCTTCCAAAATGCCTACTTCCACAATAGGCGGTGAAACGCTCCCGGGTCATCCAAACCCGATCCGTACATACGCCCAATTTCAAAATAATCATGCGAACCTGTTGGAATCTTCAAATCCCGATTCCGAGGTCGTTTACTCAAGAATCCAACCTTAGTCAATTCTTCCAACTTAAAGCTTCCGAAATGAGAATTTTCTTTCCAAATCAACTCTAAACTTCTGAAATTCCAATTTTGACCACGCGTACTAGTCATAATACCTAAAGTAAAGCTATTTATAGTCTCAAACTGCCGAACGACGTGCTAAAGCTCAAAATGACCGATCAGATCATTACAGTGAAGACACAAATGGAGAAACTTTATGGTAGGTTACTTTCTCTTTTAGCTAGCCTAGCCATTACCTTCTTCCAATCCAACGCAATTGGGTTGAAATGGCTGTTAAGTATAAAGTCCCATTTCATTTGTCTTCCTCACTTCGCTACAATCATATATCTATCTATACTATATTAAAAAAACGAAGTCTCTTAGCGAAATATCACTCACATGTTTTATCCTTTGAAAAAAGAGTTCATATTGGACAAGATAGTCCTTTAATTATATTCCTAACATTTATGAGTTTAAAATCAAATAAAATTTTAATTATTAAATCTTTACTGTTTAAAGTATATGAAACTCCTAATAATTAAAATTTTACAATCATAAATAATCTACCTAATATAAATCTTACTCTCTCATGTTCTATTTTGCATCCAAGATATGGATAAACGAATAGTAAGATTGTTCTCATCAAGGGGTTTAGCTTCCGATATATGAACATATTAATAGTCAAGAGAGTTTCTACATTTTCTCTCAACCAAATTGATATAGCTTCTACAAAAATAAAGTACAAAGTCCAACTTTTTACAAACATAAATTTTTATTGAATAAAAGTAAATTATATTTACATATTTAAAATTTGGTATAAGATAATATTAAAAATTTAAATTAACAAATAATAAATTATTTTGTTTAATATTAAGAACAAATAATTAAGTATTTGAATTTATCACTAATTCAGAAAAACATTTAACTTTTTTTTAATTCATCATATAAGTAAAATTATTTTTTAAGTTGATGCAAACCAACTGTTACGCAACGCCTTCCTGATGATCTTTGGAAGGGCAACGTAAGGCTAAGCAACCGATGTCAGTGCGGTTGCTATCCGCCAATGAGGTCCTCGCCGCACGCTAGACTAGATTGTCAGTGCCGTGCGGGAAAACCAATGTCGTGAGCAAATTGCGGAAGCTGAGAGAGAATTGGGTTTTGAATGATTATGATGATTTTATTGCTGAATGAAAATACTGATTACAATGATGCGGTGTCGAGGGGGAGAGACACCAGAAAATGCTGATTGAAATGTTTGATNTTATTGTTAGACTACTAGCAATGAAAGAATTGAGTAAGAAAATAGAAAAAAAATCATTAATGTATACTGTTAAGGGTCAACTTGATTAAAATACAAACTTGAAGAAAGGTAGAATATAAAATATATTATGTGTATACACTACCCTTCTCAAAATCTCACTTTGTGAGTTATATTGGATTAGTTATTATTGTTGTTGTATGATTTCTTTTTTTGGTGAGTTAGCTAAATAGGATCAACAATTTAACATTTACCATTTCATAAACTTATGATTTATTTGCTCGGATTCTATTTTATAACTCAAATATATATATTTTTAAATATTAT